TTGCCCGTTACTGAAAGGTCAGCTGTGAATTTTTGAAAGCCTTATTTGAAGCTGTGGGGTTCTTCCGGCTGCTCTGACTTAGAGCTTCCTTAAGGCGGCTCCCCTTCTGCGGACAGAGATGGCTCATTCATCTGAGTCATTTCCCTTTCAAATGTTCCGCTGGAGGCCGTGGGGCCCCGCTCGATGCTGCCGTGTGGAACCCACAGCATGGTCTCCCTCTGGCCCCACCTGGCTCCGTGCCGGCCTGCATTTCCTTCCTGCAGACTGCAGCCCTAGCAGGGCCTCCCTTGCTGACCACAGTACCCAGAACGGCTCCTGGCTGCTTCCCACCAGGGACCAGGCGGCCGCATCCTCCCGCTCCCTGCTGGGACCTGGTGTCTGTAGCTTATTTCAGCCGCTAGAACGAATGAGTTTTCTTGTTCTTTCCTTCTCTGACCAGTACACTGTGGGTTCTATCTCCCAACAGTGGTGTGGATGGGACAGAGAGCCACAGAATTTCCCAGGCTTGGTGAGGGACAGGCTCTTTGGCTTTGCACTCTTCCTGGAAGGAACCCCTGGTTCCTTCCTGCCTTGGCAAACAGGGTTGGGTTAAAATTATTCATGAGCAGTTAATAGCCCCAAATGCTGAAAGGAAGGAAAGCTGATAGAAATTGAGTGTTTTTCATATCCTCCGCCTTTCTTTCCCATCTTTAAAATGCATTTTTCTGTTGTAGCTGGGAGGATGGCTCAGTGATGAAGAGCTCCTTGCTGCTCTTGCAGAGGATCCATATTTAGTTCCCAGCACCCAAGTGGTGGCTCACAACCATCCTTCACTCCAGCTCGAGGGAATCTGATGACCTCTTTTGGCCTCCTTGGGCACCCGTCATGCACATGGTACATGTACATGCATACACATAAAATAAAAATCTAAAAAGAAATGCAGGTGTTTTTTAGTTTCAGCCGGCTCCCAGCCGCCCCTGTGTACCTGCCCTCTCCCTCCAGCCTGACCTTCTGTGTCTTGTTTCTTTATGGAAATCTCCATCTTCCTACCTTGCATGTTCGGTATCCTTGTCCCAGCGCTCCCCACGAAGCAGGCTTCCTAAGGCTGCTGGGAGAAGTATTAGCCTTGGGGGCTTCAGGAGTGTCCTGTGTCCACCAGGCCAGGTCTCTCAGGGGATGGAATGGTCTTGTATGTGGACCTCTCCCTTCCCTTTGCCTTGCTTCCAGAAATCACATTTTGGTGGAGACTTCTGTTTGTGTGTATGAAGGTGGGCCTCCTGGAGGACTTACCTCCTCTGTCCTCAGGCTGTCCCTTCCACTCGAACTATCTTGGAATCATGTCCAGAAGCCAGGACTCATGAGCTCTATCATGGTGGGACCTCTGTACTGTTTGGGGAGATCTTGGCTTTCGTGGTATGGTACATGCTCTTCACAGGTGTGGCCATTTGCTCTGCAACTCAGCCCTGGTGCTCAGACTCAGCTCTGTGTAGGGGAGTGTTGGCTGCTCTCCAATACGGGACCTTTTCTAACCCGGTGGGGTCATTTCCTCCCTCCCTCCTCCTCTCCTTTCCTCCCTCTCTCCCTCCCTCTCTCCTTCTTCCCTCCTTCCCTGCCTCCCTCCCTCCCTTTCTTTTTCTGACATAAGTATGTAGCTCTGTAGACCAGGCTGTCCTCAAACTCACGGAGATCCACCTGCCTCTGCCTCCCAAGTGTTGAGATTAAAGGTGTGCACCACTACAGCCGGCTATATGAGTTCCTTTTCTTTTGTCTTGTTTCTGCCTACTCTGTTGCCGGCTTTCCTCTAAGCCTGGAAATGCTGTTGGACCCTGCGTGCTTTCTTGGACCACAGCTCAGTGGGTAACTTCTGTTCCTGAGAATTGCCTGTGAACTGAACTCACTCTCTCAGATAAAAATATCCAGACCCCAACTGTAAGATTACTCCTGCTCCCCACAACCTTCAACACAACCAAGTCCAAACTCTTGGTTTTGCTTTTGTACTCCCCACCCCTGACTGGCTTCCTTCCCTGGATTCCCCAAGTGAGCAAAAAGCGGCAGCATCCTTTGTTGGATCTTTCGTCCCTCTAATAATAGACTGTCTCCTGGGCTCACTTTCTCCTCACTAGATTCCCAGCCTTCATCATCTTCTCTGTGGCACAGAGCCCAAATGCACCTCTGTTGGGAAGCCTTAAAGGCCCCAGTGTTACACACACACTCGCACACAGACACGCACACACACACACACACACACGTTCATTTTGAGCTTCCCAACTAATTCAGGCAATTTAACACATGACGCTGTCAGGTGGTGGGAGTGATAATGACTTGCATTTGACATACTTGTGCCTTCCTCCGCCCATACGGAGCATGTTCCCACGGCCCTCTGAGCCTTGGCATGTGCTCTTCCTTCCGTCTAGCTTGCTCTTCTACCTCAGGGAGAGCAGCTTGTCCTTTAAGGCCTAGTGTAAAGGTCTCCTCATCTTCCTCATGACTGTGGCAGCAAGTCTTGCAGCGATTTGTTTGCACATCTGCTTCTAATCTAGACTGGAGGCTCCCAGGGGATTAGATCCCTGTCTGATTTACTTTTTGAAAAATTCATTTTAATTAAATATTGAGTAGGTATTCATAAAGGATATAAGAAGATTTATAAAATATGTATATGTGTTAAGAGGAACCTCGTGTGAACCTGGAGACCTGACCTGCCTTGTAGGAACTTAGCCTCAGGTATGTCCTACCCTTTGACATTGCTGCATCATGTTTCCAGAAAGTTCACTCAAAAGCCAATCAGTCGCAACCCCCACACACACACACACAAATAAATTCACAAAAAGAAATCTCATAATGTTTTAAATAAGCTTCTAATTTTGTGTTGGGCTGTACTCATAGCTCTCCTCAGCTGAATGCTGCTGCATGCTGCTCGTAGTCTGAAGGCTGGATATGCCTATAGGACCAGAAACAGGTCAAAGACATAGAACAAATGTACAGGTCAATAAGCATGAACAGCCAAAAGAAAGACAGATGGAAGGAAGGAAGGAAAGAGGGAAGGAAGGAAAGAGGGAGGGAAGGAAGACCGTTATTAGAATCTTTGTCTTCTGTGAGTCTGTTGCTGAGCAAACTCCATGTGACTTCACCCAGTTCTGCACTTCCCTGACTGAGCCCTGCCTGCTTCCTGAGCTCCCCACACTATTCTGTTCCTTTTTCTGTGCTCACTGAATGTTCACTCATGGGAAGCACAGTGCCGAGTCCTAGTAACCAGCAGGCCTTTTCCTAGGTCAGTGCCAATTTGTGCCAGCCCCTCAGTGTGGACAACATTTCTAAAAACCGGCTAACCTGTGATACAACATTGAGTTTAAGAGTCACTTTGAGCCAGTCGCAGGTCATGGGAGTTCACACCTGTAATCACAGTGGGAGGCAAAGCCCTGAATTTGAGGCCAGCACAGGCTTCAGAAGTGAAGCCTCTCCAGTGTGTCAGCAAACTGTCAGCAGCCACCAAAGGAATATAGGCCCAAGCCGACCTGTTCTGGAAGCAACAGGAAACCTGGTCGTTGACTGTTTATGCTCCCCCTCTTCCAATCTGGAAAAGAGGTAAATTGCCAGAAACAAATTTAAGTTGGTCCAAAGAAGAAATTCAAGAAATTACATTTCAGCCTGAATGTTTCTTTTACCTCATGGGTCTACCAGCTCTGCAGACAAGGATGGACATGTTTGTGCTGGGATGGACAGACATGTTCAGGGGAATGGACATGGTGTCAGGGACATTGGGCCTCCTTCAGTGGTTTCTCAAGGGCTGGATTTGAAACCCCACCCAGCCTTACTTACACCAATGAAAAAATAACATTGCATCCCACCTTCTTAGACTCGGCTGGGCTTGCTGGAGGATCTCCAGAAGGAACAGGTGGAGCAGGATATCAGTATCACATCAGGCTTCTTAACATGGAAATCCTGGGCTAAAGATGGTTCATCAGCTGCCTCAGTCCCTGTTCTGTTGCTGTGAAGAGACACCATGGCCACAAGAACTGTTACAAGAGAAAGCATTTAACTGTGGGCTCGCTTACAGTTTCAGAGGTTTAGTCCATTGTCATGGCAAGGAGCTTGGCGGCATGGAGGCAGGGGCTAGAGAGTAGTCAAGAGCGACATCCCGATCTGCAGGCAGAGGGAGAAACTCTGCGTTTGGCCTGGGCTTTTGAAACCTCAAAGCCCACAGTCAATGACACACTTTCTTCAAAAAGGCCACACCTCTTAATCCTTCTAATCCTTTCAAATAGTGCTACTCCCTGGAGAGTAGGCATTCAAATATTTGAGCCTATATGGTCATTCTTATTCAAACCACCATATGGGTTAAGAGTACTGGCTGCTTTTCCAGAGGACCTGGGTTTGATTCCTAGTACCCACATAGCTGCTCACAACCGGAAGATCCAATGCCCTTGTCTGTCTTCTATGGGCAATCCACACAAGTGGTGCACAGACATACACATACAGGCACAACACCCTTATACATAAATAAAAGTAAAGTTCAAAAGTTCAGTCCCTGGGCTGGGGATGTAGCTCAGTTGGTAAAATACCTGCCTAGAATGCAAAAAGCCCTGGGTTCGATCCCCAGCACTTGTAAATTGGGTACAGTGGTGCCTGCCTGTAATCCCAACTCTTTAGAAGTAGAGATGGGGGAATCACAAGTTCAGGGTCATTCTTAGCTGCAGAGAGAACTCGAGGCCAACCTGGGCTACATGAGACCCTGTGTCAAACAAACAAGTCCACCCCACATTAGATGCCCTACTAGATTACTGACAAGAATCTGCTCTTCCTCAGGGTGTGAGAGAAGACAGTCATGTCCATCTGCTCTGTGGCCTGATGCCAAGAAGCTTGCAGGGCTCTAGCACAGGGTACAATAAGGGGTGACTTGGATGATGTCACTGTACAATAGAAAGAGGACGTGATGGGCTTGGGGTCACTCTGGGTTGGAAGAGACCCATGTAAGCTACTTCTATATGATGAGTCTCTAACAGTCATTTTCAATGTCATTTCAGTGTTTCCCGGAGACTGGACCCCAAGGAGCCCCTGGGCAGCCAGAGAGCAACTTCCCCAACCCCAAAGCAAGCTTCTGCTCCTGCTCCTGGCCGAGAGAGCCCCAGAGAGACAAGGGCCCAAGGCCCATCAGGCCAGGAGGCTGATGGTCCCCGCCGGACACTGCAGGTAGACAGCAGGACACAGAGATCAGGACGGTCCCCCTCGGTGTCACCAGACAGAGGCAGCACCCCCACGTCACCCTACTCCGTCCCGCAGATCGCCCCCCTTCCCAGCAGCACCCTGTGTCCTATATGCAAGACCTCGGACCTCACGTCGGCCTCCAGCCAGCCAAACTTCAACACTTGCACCCAGTGTCACAACAAAGTCTGCAACCAGTGTGGGTTCAACCCCAACCCTCACCTCACCCAGGTAACTACCACCGCCTCTCCGGAACCGCGCCCCTTCCCCCCTTCCTACCCACCCCACCCACGCCTGTCTTCCTTAGCCACCAGTGCCCATGCACCCCTAATGGGGGGGTGGGGCCTAGTCCTGGTTTCAGGATGTGGAATCAGAGGACAAGCTCGGGCCCCAAGTCTCCTGAGAGATTCCTGTACCCTGAGAACTTAGGAGGGGCTGGAGCAGTGGCTCAGCAGTTAAGAACACCGCCTGCTCTCCCGGAAGACTGGGGCTCGGTTTCTAGCACCCACTAAGCGGCTCACAATCCTCCAGTCCCGGGGAATCCGATGCCCTCTCCACACAGGGTGCACAGGGACATGCGCAGGAGAACATCCGTACTTATGAAAATAAATACATGCTTTTAACTCGGCGCCTTTAATCCCGGTACTGAGGAGGCAGAGGCAGGGGGATCTCTGAATTCGCGGCCAGGCCAGTCTGGTCTACAGAGTGAGCTCAGGACAGCCAGGACTACACAGGGAAAACCTGTACCAAAAAACAAACAAACAAACAAGGCCAATGAACAAACTTAGAAACTCAGAATAGAAAATGCCCTGGAGCTCGATCTATAGACCACAGTGGCTTTGAACTCACAGAGATCTGTCCGCCTCTGCTCCCAAGTGCTGGTCTCAAAGGTGTGCGCCACCACTGCCTGTCTTAGAAAATGCTTTCTAACTGGTTTACTTTTAGCCTGGGGGGAAATGGCCGTGGAGAGCTCGCTCCAAGAAAATCTCACCTCAGCTCCTCCCTGTGGGTACTCCATTAGAGATGGTCACAGGTGTCTCCGAGGGGAGTGAGATTTCCCGGCCCTGGGCCTGCCTCTCTCCATGACAGTCCTGGAGACGGATGCATGTAAGGAATCCAACTTCTAGCAGGGGGTGGGCACTGACCCCTTCCAGCTCTGGACAGCGCCTCTCTGGGTTTGTCTGGGGCCCGAGGACTAGACTGTCCTCCCCAATTTTGTGCTGAGGCCAAGGATTCACAAGGATTATCAGTGTCCTGCTCTCCCAAGGAGCTGTCCTACAGGACTGTATCCGTGCAGTCAGCCTCTTTTTGCCCCAAAGGACTGTCAATCCACATCTTCCTCGTGGCTTTGTTCAGGATGCTCTGTGTTGGAGTGGGATGCCTTACGGAGCCTTTGGGGGATCCCTTCGGTGACCCAGAGGCTGGGTGCTCCTTAGGGCCATACTTTTGAAACACACCGAGTAGCTTTCCTGGCACCCTTGTACCCCACAGGGAAACCCACAGAAGTCTCTGCTTCTTCCCCAAAAGACTGCCGTGGACAGGATGGAGAGAGGCTACTGTAGGCAGCCCCCTACAGCTGGGATTTATCAGCAGCCGGGGTTGTTTGGACCGCGTGGGAGGGGATAAGTGAGAATAATTGTTAGCAGGTCAGGGTCTATATATGCCGTGAGGTGCTGTGGGTGTGGGATGTGTGGTTTCCAAGAGGTAAGTGTGAGATTCCGAGGAAGGAGCTGTTGGTGCAGGGCGATGACTCAGCGTTTGGAGTTGCTCCTGGAATGTGGAGGCTTCCTGAGGAGGCGTGCTCGCTCGCTCGTGATCACCGCATCTGTGATTAGAAACAGACCCATTCCCGCACCGATCAGTTAAGTAAGTGTTAGCTGTTCCATATTGGGAGCGGTGTGGTTAAGGAAGGGGAAGCTCACCTGTTTGATCCAACCAACGGAGAAGCCAGAAGCACCGGCCTCCCCGGAGCAGGGGGACTTGGCAGATGGCCCCCGACATGGGACAGCCCACCACTGTGTCGCTCTCTCCCCTCTGGAACCCTCTGGGCTTCGGACGCCCTGGGTTGCTCTCCTGTGCCGAAGCCCTGGGTGGGGTGGTGAAAGAGCCCCATGCCGAGGCACCAGCGTCTTGGTGGCATCCCAGCACTCCCATGCCACAGCCTCAGCCTCCTGGTTCCTTCAAGCCCAGAACCTTTAGAGAGATGGGAAGGGAGCCAGCCTCTGAGTGTGCCTAGAAAAACAGCAGAGTAGGAGGACCTTGGAGACACTCAGTCCATCTGCCTAGTTGTGCTGGGCGGAAGCTGAGGCTCAGGGCCAGGAGGAAAGAGGGCCTCAAACTTACTGCAAATCCACAGTATTTGGCGGAGAACAAAACTCTCGGCCAACTCCTTCCAACAAATGCTGGACTGGACAAATCAAGTGGCCCTTTAATACAAGCTCTTGGCGTCCTCGGGGCCTCAGGGCTATCAAACAGGACTGAAAGCTGGCAGCCTTTCGCGTGCGTGCTTTCACAGAGCGTGGGAGGGGCTGCTGTCCCGCAGCACCCCTTTGAAAACAACGCTGTCTTGTTGTGTGTCTTCTACAGGTCTATGCTCACACACGCTGTAGTCTGCTCAGCCCTCCAGACAGAATCTTTGCTTCCCTGGAGCTGCCTTTCCATTCAAGGAAAACTAAACCTTGGCATATTCTCCTGAAGGGTGGGCAAAAGGCATAGTTGTCAAGCCGGTGCCGTTTCCCTTTGTCACTTGCTGAGAGCAGAGTCCCCTCCCTGGTCATACTTTAATGTGACAAGGAAACAACTTTACAGGTTCTGCTCTGTTTACTCTCTCCTGGGAATCCATGTCTCTTCTCCATATCTCCATCTCGGTCCAGGCTAAGCGGGAGGCTGGCTCTGAAGTCAAGTGTGTCTGGATGATGGTGTGTGTGTATGTGTGTGTGACCTTTTATTGGAGACTCAATGACATGACATACTTTCTGCAGTGGCCCAGCTGGAGTATAGATGGGTGGGGAGCTCAGATACACTCCAAACAGCCTCAGGAGGGAGTGTGGAAACGCTGGGCCTTGGATGAGGAGCCTTCCAGCCCAGGTCTTGTGTCTAGGGCCTGTCAATAGGATTTATAGACAAAGGGAGGCATTTAGCAGTCCCAGGGAGAAGCAAGGGCCACACAAATGACATGGAGAGCCTCAGGCCTGTTCTTGGGTATTGGATATGTGACTATGAAAAACATAGCCTTTCCCTTAGGTGTCATGAGTGAAGACTTGATAGTTGGCATGTGACCCAAGTTACCGTGCAGATCAGGAGAAGGATGGAATCCTCTTGCTGACCTTGCTGAACACGGCCAGAAACTGGGCACCGCTGCACGATGGTCGCCGTGACCCACTGATTTTACTTTTGTGTCTTTTGGAATCTGTCAGGGTCCTACCACCTTTACCGCAGCAGGTGCTACAAACTAGTAGACAAGGCTTGGAAATGAGAGTCGCACACAGGGAGAACAGTCAGAATCACTTACAGGGAGAACAGCCTCATTTGGCCAGTCGTGGGAGTCACCACTCTGCCCATGCCCCTGTTGGCTAGTTACGGAGGGTTTATAGAACAGAGAGGCTTTGCTAGGTTTTTGTACGTGTGTGGAACATACCAAAACCGAATGGAAACTGGGGGAGTGCCATGTCCAGCACAGCTCCAGGGACAGACATGACTGTGGTCATGAGGGAATGAAGAAAAGACAGACAGACAAGAGAGGTGAGCAAGGCTATGTGGAGAAAGCTCAGCACCCTGGGGGCTCGGCACGTTGGCTGTAGAGTTGGAGAGAGAGGGGCTGGTGTAGCGCTGCAGAGCAAGGGAGAGGCTTGGTAGCAGCAGTCTCTGTGGGGGAGCAGCCCAGGCTGCAACTGCCCGGGGGAGAAAGCGACAGCGGACAGGCACCGTCCGAGCACACACTGTCCACACTCACACTCAGTCCGCCAAGGAAGGCTTTGCCCACCTCTGAACCTCGCCCTGAGGCTGGGGGAAGGCTTTGCCATCTCCCCACGGGCCTGAGGCCGGCGTCTCTGACATGGCTGTGGGGCCTCACTCGCTCGGCTTCCTTCGCCCCCAGGACAGGAGCCCAGAACATGCTGTTTATACACACAAGACAGTTTTGCAAAATCCTGCCTTATTCTGCACCATTCCGGAGCAAAACAACGTAGAGAGTCTAAAGCAGTGCTGAGTTGTCTGCCCCCCACCGCCCCCCAGGGAAATCCCACCCATGCTCACTTTCCTTCTGAGTAAGATTGACCCGAAATAAATAGGATTGGCCCAGTCATTCCTCTGGAAGGTCATTTCTCCTTGGATTTTTTTTTTTTTTTTCCAATTAAGGGCAGGTGAAGAATTTGACCTGTGGTCTGGAGAGCTGGCTCAACGCTTAAGATCATGTGCTCCTTAATGCCGAGAGCAGAGGCCTTGAGTTCAGTTCCCATAAGGCAGCTGATAGCCGGCTGTGATTCCAGTTCCAGTGGAATCTGCTGCCCTCTTCTGGCCTTCTTGAGTACTGCATTCATGCGCAAAACCGTGCAAAGAGGCAAAGCTTCGGGAAATAAAAATAAATAAGTCTTTTTAAAAATTAAAAAGATTTCACCTGTTAGAAACTATGCCAAAATACCATGTAGAGAGTTTTCTTCTGGCATCAGTTCTGTTTTCATTATCCACAGAAACCCTTGTTCTGACAACACTTTGATCGCAGGAGACCAGAGGTGCTAACACGTTCAGTGCTGGGGATGGGGGGGGAGGAGGGGAAATGCTTCTCCTTGTCTGGGTGTAGTTTCAGGACAAATTCTGGAGATGTCCTCCCTGTCACAGCTGTTCAAAGTAGAAGCAAGCGCACAAGGACTGACTTCTGTGGCTTTGCTGATGCCACAAGCCCAGTCAGGCTGGTCAAGGTAGCTCTCCACTCATCTGCAACAGGAAGGAAGCCCTGTTGCCTTGGTCTGTTCTGACAGTCTGAGGGCACAGTCAGGGCATAGGCATCACATGGCTATTGTAGAGGTGAGGTAGAAGAGCCAGGGGTCTAGAAGTGAGCTGTAGGAAAATACAAGCAGTGATTGTGCTCACTCATGCCTGCCTCAGAGCCTGTAGGGCCACTCAGAGCAGCCCCTGACGCACATTCTGGCCCAGGCCTCCTGAAGATGAGTGTGACCTTGACCTGTGTCCCAGGGATGATTGCAGTGTAAAGGTAGAACACTTGAAAGCCCAGA